GAAAGGGTAAATTAAGGCATGAGAATCTCCTTTGGGGTTATGAATGAATCTGTTGTGAGGATTTTCCTTTTCTCAGATTCTCTAAGTTGTTAGATTTCAAATCAATGTAAAGATGTGGGGGTGAAGAGAAGCTCTGGTCCCTGAGTCACTATCCTATCATTTTATCTCAGAATTCCAGATTTCCAGAAGTCAGAGTAGGCACATAGTCCAAGGTTTACTGGTCCTGATACTGCCTGGTAGCAGTGTGAGTATATATTACATTGCACAAATTTCTAATTACAGGTTTAAAATATTCAACTAAAAATGGCATCTAATCAAGAGATTAAGCTTTATGAGAACTGGAAGTGGCTGGATTATAAACCTGATGAGTTTTATGTTCCATGTACATAAAAAGAATGTTTTTAATGACTGATAAGTAAGCTAAATTTTCATTTTCTTCTCCAAATAGCTTTGGATTTTCTTTCTCAGTGAACACTGATCTTGAATACATGCAAATACTAAAACCCAGCTGTTTCTCTTTATGAGCAAAAGGCAGTCTTAATTAGTTTTTATAAGATATACATATCTTTCACTCTACTAAAATACCACACTCAACAAATAATGTTTTAACTACAATATCAGTGAATGCTTTTCCTGTTCTTTTTCTCCCTGTATGGTCCTGCATCTGATACCTAAAAAGTATCACCAAAATATAATTTTTTTAGACAATAGAATCAAATTGCCAAATTTATTTTGAATGAAGTTTATGATTAAAATTTCTCCATTTATGTAACTTTAATCATAGGCTTCATGAAGGAAAAGGCTGCAATTGCATCAATTTTACGTATTGATAAATCAAATTTTGGTTAGAAGATCGCTTGAGGCCACACGCACTTCATTAACTGCCAACTGAACAAGGGCCATAACCCTGAATTTCTGAGTGCTTATTCCTTCGTAGAGTACAATTGATAAGATCAGGAAAACAATATTGTCAAAATTGATTATTTTGGAGGATTTCTTCTTTGGTGCTATATTATCTAAATTGAATATGTCTAATTGTAAATGTAAAACCCTTTCGGCACATATTTGGAAACCAACTACGTTAGGGTTGCCATAAGAAAGTACCACGGACCGAGTAGCTTAAACAACAAAATTTCATTTACTTACAATTCTGGAGGTTAGAAGTCTGAGATTAAGGTTTTGGAAGAACTGGTTTCTTCTGAGGCCTCTCTCCTTGGCTTGTAGAGGGCCATCTTCCTCCTACGTCTTCACATGGTCTTCAGAATGTATGTATCCCTGCCCTGATTTTCTCTTCTTAAAAGGACAACAGTCATATTGGATTAGTGGATGCTCTAATGACCTTATTTTAACTTAATTGCCTCTTTAGCCTTACCTCTAAATATAGTCACATCCTGAGGTACTAGTGTTGCAGGAAGCGACACCCAATGGAGGCAATTGGATGCTCAGACAACATTGTTAGAGGAAGGAGAATTTATTAGCCAGTGGAGCACGTGGGGCTTAACAGTACCAAAGCATGAGCTCCTTTCGGTTAGATTTCTTAGTTTATATATTTTTTCAGTGTCTATGCAAGGGGCGCGTGATTCCTTCGTCTGAGGTCTTCGTGAACCTCATGACTCAGGATGGGGAGGGGAAGTTTGGGTGGGGGGCTGTAAGGGGGAAGGAATTTCCAGACCACAGGTTTTATCTATTTACAGGCTGTTTGTCTTGTAGAACCCGCAGCCTTCGTGTTATCAGTATTAGGTGTTGCAAGAGTTTCCAGAAGGCCATTTAGAGATTTATAAGATGTGGTTAATCTATAACTCACTGAGTCGGTCATTTCTGCAAGCCCTTTCCTTTGCATTTTTCAGATGCCTCCCCTCCTCTCTTACTAGGGGTTAGGACTTCAACATATGAATTTTGGAGAGACACAACTCAGCCCATAACACTGTCAAAAATCTAGAAATAGCAAAATTAAAACCACCAGATCAAAAAATAATTTTTAGTAAGACTTTATTGTGCATATAAGAACAGTTCACAAACTGGGAGCTTTCCAATTTAAAACTAATACGAAACTCTGGGGCATTATATTACAGGATGGCTTATAAAATAAAAATAGGAAGTAATTTAACCTTTACAATGATTGCTTATTACAATGGAGGTTTCCAGATGGCCGAGGATTAGTTATGTGATTATCCTACACCAATTTTAGGATGATAACAAGTTTGTTTTATGATTATCAGAGGCATTTACAAGAAAAAAACATAATTAACTTTCACTTATGTTCAAGAAATAACTTAGAGTTAGTTGTGCTTATTGGCCTCAATAAGTTTTTGTCTGCCAGGAAATTTTCAAGTCCAGTCTCCGTTTTGTATTTAATTTTAACAGCACCAATTCACAGACTTCCCATATTTTTTATTTGGTTTAGGTTAAATAGAGTAGTTTCTATACCAAAAAACTATATCTAAATTATATTCAAACTGGAGTCAGATTATAGCACAAACAAAGGCTGTTTGGAGACTCCCAAATGCTTAATATTAAGAACGGCAGATTACAGAATCAACAAATCTCACAAGCCTCAGGATATCAAAGGGCTATCAAGAATAAATAAATTCTATATTTATATTTCCAAGAATAATAGAAATTACACACTTGCATATGTAAAGTCTTTGGTTAGATATACCAGAGACTTTGTACCCAAGTCCTCCAGTTTGCACACCAAGTCCATCCTTCTAGGACCTGAGAAAAAACAAAAAGGTGAATGAGAGTTTAAAAGAAACCGTTAGAAAATATTTTCAAACCAAGGCTTTGCTACTTATTTTAGAGCCATGGACATTCAAAGTCCACACAGGTTACCATTGCTCTAAAACATGAATCATCTCACTCACCTTTAGGGTTATTCTCATCACCAGTTTATCTATTCACACAGATGATTTGTTTACTAGCTGTGATACTTCATAGCTCTAAGCTGTGTTATTCTTATCTTTAAAATAGGGATAAAAATAGTACCTATCTCACAGAGTTGATATGAGAATTAAATGAGATGATGTTATTAAACGTCTGGCACAAGGTAAGTGTGTAATAAATATGAGCCAACATCAACTAAACCCCATGAGGGTAGGAGCTATATCTAGACCAGTAACTACTGTATACACAGTTCCTGGAATATAGGAGGCATTCATTAAATAGGTGTTCAATGGACAAAAGAATTAACCTCAGTCCAATTTGGGGATCATTTAAACAAAAATGAGGAGTGGGGACAGAAGGCAGAGGAGAGTGTTCTATATTTAAATTAATTTTTTTAATAAAAGAAAGTTGTCAGTGCATTTTAAAAGCATTTTATAAGATAGAAGCCCTATGACTTTATGAGATTGTTTCATTACTGAGAAAATTTTCTTTCACAAGTGCATGAAACACTTCACTCAAATCCACATCTGTCATGCCGTTTCTCAGAATTTATGGTCTGTTTTGTTTTGAGAAAAACAAAAATAACTCAGCAAACTATCCCACTTTAAGTATTTTAAACTTGAAGCTGATTATTTCTATATCCATTCCCCACACTATGCTTGCCAGTGAAACACTTTAAGAATGCCAATGACTAGAAAGAAAAAGAAAGAAGCTATAATGGTTCTCAACAACCTACTTGCTCAGTCTTTGGTTTGGCCTCCCTTCCCCGCCTATCGGCAACTCTGGAAAGATGTGGTGTGGAGATGGAAATGTTAACAACAACAAATTAGTAAGAAGCGGACACTGTACTGAACATAGACATGCTCCTATCCACTCAGAATGAAATTAGGGGAGCAGCATGATAACCCATAGGAGAACCGGAGGGGAACTGAAGTATAGTTCCTCCTACCTCTTTCTCCACTCCCATTTGCAATACTGGACACATGCTAGTCCTATGTGAGCAGGAGCTGTCCATTCCCCAAAGCAAGCAATGGGGATGCTGGGGAGCACAGTCAGGTCCACAAACTTCAAGGTCCTTCTCCTGGCCAAATCCATCGTGCTGGGAGATCAGATATGCACGGCCTGGAGAGCAGAGGATCAAGTTTCAGGGCACATGCACAGTGACTTTTGAATACCTGGGTACATGACTGCATCCAATGGGGACAAATTAATAAGTTCAAAGTGGTATACTTAGGGAAAAAGGTTAAATAATACCAACTACATGCATACATAGTGACAAGTGGTCAAATTCTGGCGTAAAAATTAAATAAGCATGCAATTTAACAAAAATTCAGGTTTCTATTACATGCCAGGCACTAATGGCACATATTACCAATCAGCAATACAAAGCCAATTGGAAAATAAAAATCTTGTTAAAATAGTGAATTCAATTCTTAACTTAATACCCTCAGTTCTATCACATGCTGACGATCTCTCAAAAAAAAAATTCTTAAAGAAATAAACGATCAGCACAGTATAGTAGAAAAATCATGGACTTTGGATACTTAAAGTCAAGAATTCAAATCCCAGCTCTGCAGCTAAGGCAGCTGTGCCAATGTTTCTTTATCTGTTAATTGGGAATTATAATATCTACCCTCAGCATATATTCTTATGCTGAGAATGAAAGGAGCTATTGTCTTTAAAGGGTCTAATATAATTCTTGATATGAGGGCTCTGAATTATTAGTTCTCTATTATCTCTGTTCTTCCCTGCCACTGAATAGATTAATGATATATTTGATTTAAACTGATGCATAAAGGAATGAATTATATGAAGAAACAAATTTCCTGATGGTGTAAATTTTCAATTATTAAAACAAGTAAACCAAGCAATTTGGAACTTAAGGATTCTCTAGTTTCCTTTAGTGGAGATGAGTTTTTCAAAGGCAATCTCATAGATGAGAGAATAGAACAAAGAGAAGTCTTTACTAAAATGAGTAAAGAATATAAAAGAGAAGTCTTGTGACTGAAACTTTCAATTTCAAAAGTTTAACTCATATTGTGAAACATGGCCTTTCACAATCCACTATGAAATTTATAGGCAGTAAAGTAGAGTATGAGAGAATGGACTAGAAAGGCAGAGAGAGAGGAGTTAGCATCCTGGCCATGTAGGAATTTAAACATATTATTTAACTTCTTTGAGGTTCAGTTTCCCATTTACAAGTTGGAGATAATGATACTTGCTGACAAGGTTGTTATGAGATAATGTAGATATAGTACATCATGCTCAGGAAATAAAAGTTTTAATAACACCAACCCTGAATTGAGACATTGAACCACTGACTGTCACCAAGAAATTTAATTGAGATGACAGAAAGAGAAAGGTGTAAAATAAAGATGATAGAAAGAGAAAGGTGTAAAATAAAGAAGTAGATAATGCATTCACAACTAAATGCATTAAAAAGAATGTTCTATATCTATATAGCTCTGTTCATGACTAGTAGCCACACTAAAATTGAATAAGATAAATATGATATTGAATAACTTGCTATATTCTTTGCAGGATGCATCATTAACATGCTTTCTCTGACCGCCAGGCCTTCATGCATACTACAGCTTTTGCTTGAAACACTTTTCCCCTTCTCTTCCCAATGCTTAATTTCTCATTCTTACAGTCTTGACATTAATGTCACTTCATTATGGAAGCTTTCTTTGTCTTATCCCAGAATAACTTAAGAGTCCTGATATGTGCTTCTGTCACTCTCCTAACTTCCTCATTTATAGTACTTCCACACTTGATTATAATTGAATGTTCATTCTCCGAGGGACTGAAAATTTCTATAGAACCAAGTCGGTGTGTCTGTCTTGCTCAGTGTTGTATCCAGGCACCTGGAATGGTGCATGAACATAAATTCTTGCGTGTAGAGTCAGCATATTTAGTCTTTCCATTGAGTATTTACTATTTAACATTATGTCATAAAATGTCAGTTATAGTTCATTTCTTCACATTTAAAAATAGCACAAATCACATTTGCAGGATGCTGCAGAAGGTTCTGTGCACTAGGTTGGAACTTTGAACCAACTGATACATAAGGTTACTTCTAGTTCAAAGTTCTGGTATTCTATGATTCTTCGATTTTAAGGATATGAGTATCATCCTCTCAATACTTAATCTACTCCGAGAAAGTAAATTTGGAGCACCAAAGCTACATTATTTCAGAATATGATGATGAAAGCATTATAGAATTCTTTAAAGGTAAAAAATGCATTGGCAGAAGTAGAGAGGACTTGGCAGTTTGTTTCTTCCAGTGGTGATAACTAGCTGATGCTGAACCATCTGTATTCCTTTTCACCATCTTCCTTATCCCTTCCTGCATCCCCCATTTCAAGATAAATAGTTAATATAAGCAGTCTGTACATATGAAAAAAGCAAAACCAGCTGGACTCCAGGAGGCATAACTTGCTACCATATTCTTCAAGCTGTACAGTCTACCGATAAACTCACTAAGCAAACCATATGACATAAATCTTACAGTATTTTGTCAAGATTGTGAATTGTATCCTTAAATAATAACTGCACCTCCTTGAATGTCAATTTTATTATTAAAGAGAGACTTAATAATAAATCTAAAAACACCAGGAGTCTGTTGGTGCACTGAAAGGATTACTGAAGTTTTCCAAACCATATCACTTGCAGTTTAGGGATGTACATTGTGAATTATATTTTCAGGAAAGTATCTTTCATTCATTGTACAAACCTCTGTCGAGAACATATATGATAGGCTTATGTTTAGAACCACAGAAACAATCAAAGAGCTTGAGACGGCTGGGATTTGGAAGTTACCATTCATAAACCTTGGAAAATGTAAAGGAAGAGCTATCTTCTATCTTATTTCTATGTTTTATAATAGTCTTTAAAATGTATTCTTAAAATACATGTTGAAGTCCTAAACCCCCCTCCCAGTACCTGTGAATGTGACCTTAAAATAGGGTCTTTGCAGATGATCAAGTTAAGATGAAAGCCTTACTGTTAAAGTGTACAGCTGAAACCTACTAGATTTCGTTAACCAATGTCACCATAAAAAAATTAAATAAATAAAATAAAAAATTTAAAAATTAAAAAGAAAGATGAAGTCATTAGGATGGGCCCTAATTCCATATGACTGTGTCTTTATAAAAAGGGAACATTTGGACGCTGAGATATATACAAAGGGAAGAGTATATGAAGATGCAGGGAAGATACCATCTACAGGCCAAAGAATGTTTAAGGCTACTAAAAATTAGGTAAGAAGCATGGAACAGATTTTCTTTCATGTCCCTCAGAAGAAACAAAACCTATCAACACTTTGATCTCGGACTTCTAGCCTCTAGAATGTAAGACATTTCTGTTGTTTAACCCACCCAGTCTGTTGTACCTTATTACAGCAGCCCTAGGAAACTACAACAAGCACTCTAGTCAAAAACCCATCTATTTCTATGGTATTCCTGAGTCAGGCATACTATAGTTACTACTATATAAATATTTTATAGAGACATAAAGCAGTTGTACAATTTGACAAATTGCTTGTAGATCCATTTCCAAAATGTAGGTCACATAATGCAGAGGTCCCCAATCCCCGGGCCATGGATCAGTACCGGTTTGCTGTTAAAAACTGGACGGCAAAGCAAGAGGTGAATAGCAAAGAAATAAAACAACATTCATGTTATTACTAAGTAGAAACACAACAGATTAGACACGAAAGCACAAAAATTGTCACTGATTTACTATCACACTGGCAAGAGGGATCAAAAGGCAGCAACCAGAGGTCATTCATTTGCTAATATCATTTAATATTTTTGTGCTTGAACTGAAAGAGTAGATTAACAAGGCTGCTTATTTGGTTTGTTGTTAAACACTAGGTTGAAAAAGGGTTACTAATGTTTTAAATGAAGGAAATTCAAAGTGGTCAGAGAAGGTTCAATTAGAGTAATTTCAAGACCATACAGCTAAGGAAAACAAAATCAGCTCTAGAAATATAGTGTATTAGCTGGAATATAGCCAGTATTCAAAAAATGTTTCTTAGAACTAATGTGAATATGACACTTCTGTTTTAAGCCTGTTGTTGAACTGAGAGCCTAAAACCCACTGGGAGTTCTTAGACCAACAAAAAGTTTTTTAAAGCAATTATCACTGGAAACAGAGAAGTAAATAGAATTCCAGTTTAATATATCTACTTGTATCAAATATGTCCTTAATTTACTTGTTCAATAAACATTTATCGGTCAATAATTGGACAAATGACAGGACAAAGTCCTTGTCATTAAAGAATTACATGGGAAAAAGACCAGAAAACAAACCATTACAACAGTGGGTGTAGGGACAAGGGAGGTTTGGGTATGGCAGCAAGTGCTTCTGAGTGGATGTGTCTCTTAAAGGATGATTAGAAGTTAGCAGTGGACGGGTAGGGAGCTAAAAGCACTAGTAAAGCTAATCAAGTGTGCAAAGAAAGAGGCTTGAGAAAAAGGCACTTTAGAGTGCAGTGTGGGGCTGCACTGACTATGTCATGGTGGATGATGAGACTAGAAAAGGCAACAAGACCCCTATATTGAAAGCGTTTGGCTGCTTTGCTAAGGAGTTGGACTTTATTGCTTTTTCCCCTAACTTTATTGAGATATAATTAATATATAACGTTGTGTAACTTTAAGGTGTGGAACATGCTAATTCAATATACTTATCTGTCGCAAAATGTTACCACCACAGTTTTAGCTAACATTTCCATTATCTCAAATAATTAGCATTCCTTTTCTATAGTGAGGACATTTAAGATTTACTCTCTTAGCAACTTTCAAGTACATAGTACATTACTGTTATTTATAATTGCAATGCCGTGCATTAGATTTCCCAGAACTATTCAACTTCTAATGGAAAGTCTGTACTCTTTGACCAGCATCTCCCCAGTCCCCTCCCCCACCAGCTCCTCATAATCACTATTCTACACTCTGTTTCGAAAAATTATGTTAGTAATGACAGTATGAAGAATGAGATCCAGAATTCATTGGGGTGTTCTTTGGGTAGTCTCTAGGCTGGGCCTGTATTCTTTTGTTTCCCTTGTCATTCATGTCTGACTAGCTACCTAACAAAACAATATCATATTTAACAGCCTA